TTCAAAGGAAATTCAAGATGCTTTCTAAGGAATTATATAATCTTATAGTAAAAGGGACAACATTCAAAATGAAGAGACTTTTGGGCCATCAACTTCCAAAACTCAGAATGCAGTTCGAGAAAGCTACTCAGCTTCAAACAAAATATTTCTCATGGAAAAGGATGACTCAGAGTCAAGATCTTATAGGGAACAGCAAAGAACTGAGTATCACTTTCAGGGAGAATTAGGCCCTAACCAACAGAAATCCTCTGCTTCGAGAATAATGAGAAATCAGACATGTGTCCAATTGGAGTTCAGAATTTCCATAGACTATTCACTACTTGTAGCACTCATTTTCCCTCTTTCTGAACATGTATTGCTTAATTCACTATTGGTTGCTAGGTGAATATGAGGAAGAATGCTTGTGTCTCTAGTTTTATGCATCTTCAGAATGGGAGAAATTCCAGGAAAGGTGCCTGTTATCTGCAATCTAAAACTAGGTGTGAGTTTAAACTGATGCAATATTGAAATGAGACTTTAAGGTTTCTTGGGAGGTGGCGAGTATAGTTCCCACATGTCAGGAACATAAAATGCTATAACCAGAGAGTGCATTATGGTAACTAACTCCAAAAACAACTACAACAAACCCACTTCTGAGTAAAGAAGGAATGTCTTTTTCTTTGGTCGTGTTTCCTTCTCTTAGTTTAGACTGGTCCTGTGTTAGTTTGGCCAATACAGTGTAGTGGAAATGATGCTCTGGGACTTTCAAGCAAGAGTCCCAAGAGGAAGGACTCAGCTTCTATTTTCCTCTTCTTGGAATGCTTACCCTTAAGATACGACTCCTTGGATCCTAGCATCAAGATAAACAGCCCAGGAACCACAATGGAAGAACTCCAAGTCACACAGAGAGGCTACATAGAGAACCAAGACATGATAGCTGGATTCCCAGCTGGCAGGTACTATCTACTGCTAACTATATGAACGATCCTGTATGTTTCAACACTAATTTAGCCCCTTGAACTACATGGTGGATTCCTATCAGCTCTCAAAATTGTAAGAAAAAATGGTTATTGTTTTAACTCAATTAAGTTTAGAGGTGGTTTGTTAGTAATAGACAAAAAATATAATGTGTTAGTACCATTAAGTACATAAAATGCACATCAAGGCACTCTTTACTCTAGACCTAAAACATCACTAATACGGTCTCATGGATTCATTTGCTGTACCTTATCTCCCTGTCCTGCTAGCATTCCCAAAGACGGCAATCACTATCTTGAACTTTTGCATCTTAAAAAAAGTATATTCCTACACAACAGTTTAGATTTGCTTAATTTTGTAAAAACTGCCTCGACACTTGCTTTTCCATTATATTTCTAAGATTCACCTTTGTTGTTGCATGTAGGTCATTCTCCCTGCTAAGTAAATTTCAAAACCCACAACTTTTTATTCTTTTCTCACTGGACATTTGGATGGTTACAAACAGGGTTGCCATAAACATTGCTACACATGTACTCTCATGGTGAACACACACAGAGGTAGAATGGTTAGGGTGTGTGAATGCTTAACTCTACAAGGCCAAATGGCTTTCTGAACAGCGTATCAGTTTAAAATCCCACCTATAGCATGAAGTGGTGTCATATTAATTTTTCAACCTAGTGAATGTAAAATAATATTCTCAATTAATCACTTACAAAGTTAAATGAATTCTCATGTGTCCAGTCACATCCTCTTAAAATGACTGGTTTGTCTTTTGCTCAGTTTTCTATAGGATGATTATGAGTAGAAGTGGTAATAGGTACCTAAGTGTACACAATTCATACAACTTAGTCCTGATACATTACCCTTTTTAAGGTTAATACTGAATTAACTTGAATAGTGCTTTTGACCTTTACATGTGTTAAGAAGTGCTATTAACTGTACATCCATGTCAAAAGCACTGAATTGAGCTAGACAAGGAAATCCCTGTCCTTGGGCTAGAGGCTGGCTCAAGTGGTAGAGGACCTGCCCAGCAAGTACAAGGACCTGAGTTCAAACCCCAATACCACCAATAAAAAAAAAAGTGCTATTACTCTGTTGTTTTCTTTTCTCCTACTGAATGGGTCTGATATTTAGCAAGTTATATCTGCCTCATACAATAAGCCGTAAAGTGTTCTATCATTACCTATGCTTTGAGAGAGTATGTACAAAATCCTAGAGTATGGTCTTTGAAAGGGGTAAAATTTACTGTAAATTGATTTTACTATTCAACAATACTTAATGTCTATTTAGTATTTCTATTTTCATCTTGATCCAAGTAGAGTAAATTACAGTTTTCCAGAGTTTGGTCTCTGTCCAAGTTTTCAAATACATTAACATTAAGATGCTCCTGATAGTCTCTCACTTTCTTCTTTACTGGGTCAGAACCACCTTTTCCATCTTTATGCTGTTTACACATGCCCTGTTTAGTTCTTGTTCAGTTGTGCCAATTTTGTTTTGTCATGAAATAACTCATATTCTTTTCTAATTCATGGATTTATTCCTTCTTTATCTTTCCTTGCCTCTATACCACTTCCCTCAATGTGCTATTTCTGCTGCATTACTTGATTTTAAAAATAAATTTAAGTTCTCAGTGTTTATCTTCTGTCTTTTAAAACTTACAAAGATTTTTTGTGTGGGTGGTATGCGGTTTAAACTCAAGGCCTACACCTTGTGTTACTCCACCAAGCCTTTTTGTGTGAAGGGTTTTTTTCAAGATGGGGTCTTGCGGATATTATGACCGGGTTGGCTTTGAACTGCGATCCTCCTGATCTCTGCTAGGATTACAGGCATGAGACACCAGCACCTAGCACAAACATATGATTTTTAAAATTTTGACTCCATTATTGGCATTTGTTTCTCATTCATTTAATACCAATTATCTGAAATATACTGTGAATTACTTCATGCCTTGTAGTACATGGTCAATTTTTGGTAATATACAGTGATTATATTCAATCGTTGATACATATCTAAATATGTCCATTGACAACATTGATTACATTATTGAAATGTTTTCATTCATTCTTCAGTCTTTTGAGAGTTGTTGAAATCTCTATTGCTCAGTTTGCTTCTTTAGCCCTGTAATTCGTATTTTGATGCCATCTCATAAATTAATATAGAAATTTAAAGTTGTTATAGTCCTAGTGAATTCCTTTTTACTATTTTTGTAGTCTTTTCCATCTTTAGTAACACCATCAAAAAGTCTAACTTTGACTTACCACTAAAGCTACAGATTTTTACTATTTGCCTATTTTTCTTTTATCTTTTTTTACTTTCTTTCTCCCCATGTCTTATATTTTAGTTGGTTTTCTTTTAAACAGGCTACAGTTAGGTCTTGAAAAAAATCAATCTATTTCCTTAACTAGGAAAATCAGTGTATTACATTATTAATATGACTTCTATACTATTTTTTTATAGTGGTAAAAATTAAACCCAGGGTCTCACACAAGCTAGGCAAGCAGTCTAGAGATACACTGTCTCTTATCTTACTTTCTAACTTTTGTTCTCCACTCAAACTTCTTCCTTTATTGTTCTGAGTTATTGTCTTCCTAAACTTCTTTTCCTTTGGAATGGTTCATCCCCTCTGCCTTTAGAGATTAGCCTTGAAGTTTGTGTATACATATTTAAATCAATTTTAAACGGTATCTTAATCAGTTCTCTGAATGATAGAAACACCTCAGAACACTAACTCTACTCCCCATCCTCCCATCTTATCAGCTACTGTGTAGTTTTTCAATTAAACTCTTATTTGAAAACTCCATGTTAATGTTGCATAACATTTATTTAGGTTTACATTTGTTTACACTTTCTTACAGAACACTTTCATTATGATTGTTTTATACAAACACTTTAAATCCACATTTATCATTCTCTTTGCTCATTAGTTCTGATTTCAGATCATTCTTTTGGGGTAATTTTCCTTGTTGAACATCATCTTTTTGTAGTATCTTCCGTGAAGGTCTATTGATGGACAGTCTTTGCACAGATTCTAAACTGGCAAGTTTTTCTCACAATTTTGAAGGTTTTATTCCATCATCTTCTGGGTGCATTGTTGCTGTTGGGAAGCCTAAGTATTTGTCTGTCTTGCCCTCACTGAGGATGTTTTACCCCTTTTGCTTGTTTTAAAACCTTGCAGTTCACTACATTGGGTCTAGTTTAAAAATGTTACAGATAATATTGTACTTTCTGAACTATGAATTCATGGTCTTCTAACAAATGGGGAAAATTTTGTCATCTCTTCAAATATCGCCTGTTCTCCATCCTGTTCTCCCCTACTAGTACTCCTAGTCCTTATAGTTCTTCCTTCCATTGATACATCTTAACTTTTTATTATTTTCTAGCTTGTTTCTCCTCGCTGCTTAATGGGTAATGTCCTTAGATCTAGCTTCCAGTTCACTGTTCTCTTCAGCTGATGCTACTATAATTCAACATCTCTAACATTTCATTTTTTAAAAAAATAAATATATTTCTCATTCCTTGGTTCTTTTTCACATCTACCTGTGGCTCCATTCTTCATTTCTTATGTTGGTGATGAACTCAATGCTTATTTTTTCCATAGGTTCTCTCATGCTAGCTGGTTTCATACTGTACTAGTGATTTATGGTCATGAAATAATGTTGCCTTACTCTCTCTACAACAAAATTAGAAATAAGGGCAAAATAGTTTCTGCTGGGTTTTGAGGGGGTGGGGGGGAGAGGGAGGGGGCGGAGTGGGTGGTAAGGGAGGGGGTGGGGGTAGAGGGGAGAAGTGACCCAAGCCTTGTATGCACATATGAATAATAAAAGAAAAAAAAAAAAAAAAAAAAAAGAAATAATGTTGCTTGATCATAATCTATGAGAATCTTGGGCCTAAATTTGAAATGTTTACACTTTGAGTTTCCTCCAGAAGCTACAGAGTACTACAAAATGAAGGATACTTAGTCTTCCTGTCTAGGCCAGCATCTGAGATTCATGCCTCTCTTCTTTGCTTCTTGTTTGAAGCAGTGCTGCTATTGGTATCTGCCATCCATAAAATCACAGTCCATGTGTATGCTTAAAATAGGGTTCATGATTCCCAACTTAAAATGTATTTATTTTTGTGAGGGAAAAAAGAAAGAGGTATGGTTCTTGATGATTTCTCCTAATTCCTTTGAGTCTACTCAAAAATAGATTTTATTCAGGATCTAGTTGTTTTGCAGTATCTACTTTAACACAGTGCTGGAAGCAAAAGTTGTATTTAATATATTAAAACAGTATGATACATTAACCTGAGAAAGCACATGGTTTGTCATTCTTTATTGGTTCAAACCTCTCCAGGAAGGTTTCTTGGCCCTTGATCAGAACAGATCACACAGTCTACGATGAAAGCGAGTATGCAGCAGAGATGTCCCAGAGGATGAACTGCCCCACTTGGCAGAAACTTCTCCGAATGGTCTGCTGCTGTGATGCTGCAGTCAACACTGGCTGTTCAAGTTTTTAATGTCCTGATCAATGTGTGATCCACATTGATGGATCAAAATCTGTAATAGCCCACTTTTAAAGACTTAGAAAAAATAGATAATAATGATTTGTTACATGCAACTTCCATCTAGATGCAAACTTTATTTTTGGAAACCTGGTCACCTACAATATAATCAGAGCTAAACAAGGCAGCTGGTGATTTCATGTTAGTTAGAAACAACTAAACACGCATATGGCAGCAGTTATGGCTGCTACTATCTTAAATGCAGATGATTGCTTACATCTTTGTTATTCACAGGTATTGATCACTGTTCTCTGGATGATCAGGAAGATCTTTGTGCCTCATCCTAATCACTGAAGTAGTGGAAGGAGATACCTGCAGCAAGGACTGCAACTGCAAATGCTGCAATCACACCTAAAAGTAAACAAACACAAATGGAACTGGAGTGAACAAAGAAAGGCTTAACTGATCCTAGGGTCTGAAGTGTGGATAACAGATGAGTCTATAAAATAGTACACACACACACACACGCACACACACAATCATCTGTACACACAAAGTAGATTACAAATGTTGGACATAGTGTTTGTCTTACATAAATGTGCTCATTCAGACATTCTAATAGAAAAAAATAAATTCTTTCAAAGGCTTGTATGAACACAAACACACACACACACATACACATGCACACACTATATCAGCTGTCTCATTGCTACTTAGTTTAACCCCAAAAGTCAGCTTCAATGGAAAGAGATTCTCAATCATTATAATGCAGTCATTTATGTAGCGACTGAAAACAAAAAACTCAGGTTCCATCATTTTAAAATCTAAGTAAGTCTCAGTTGGTAATTTTTATTTTTTCAGGAGTATAATAAATTTTAAAAAATGACCAAAGGACTGCAGACAAACATAAAAGTAATTATCTAGGTATGAAGAACTAGATAATTACTTTAAGTTTATCTACGGGGTGACAAGAACTCCAACTAAATCTCTGGCTCCTCACAGTGAAAAGTCTTCGTACTGAGCATTTCTCAACTTATTATTCTACTAAACAATAGTCTTACCTGTCCTTTGTTTAAAAAAACTCAAATCATGTTAAAGTGACTATAGTACTCGTTGGAGCCTTTAAAATACAAAAGCACTTTATAAATTTTCAGACATAAATTTCACTTGTTTTCATAAAACACAAAAAATCTGCAACAACAGTTCTAGGAATACTAGTTTGGAAAACACTGGTCCCACTATACTATGCAATTCCTAATACTCTACATATGTTTCTTTTAAAAACACCAAAGACGTTAACAGGATACATCTTCTTTGAGTGTACTTAGATGATAACACATTATTTATGTAAACTTGCTTCCTGGGTGTGGCCCTTCCATCATACTCAACAAATACTGGCTCAATCTAACACTTTTAAGAAATGAAAATAATTTTAAAGTAACAAGCAAACCCAAATCCAAAATATTATCTTTGCAATGTTATAAAAGAAAGTAAGATACCTATGTTTTGCTGAATTTTCAGAACTATTGGAGTTTTAATTGGTTGCTGTGGTTGTTCATCACCTGTGCTGTCCAATGAAGCTTCACTGTTCACAGAGGAACTCATACAAGCTACAAGAAACAGTAATAAATCTCAGATGATATATGAACTATCACTTGAAACTGAGTTTTAAACAACATAAGAAAAACATATACAATCAACACTATTTTCTTTCTACTTATCTTTTTTTAGGACAATAAATTTGATTATTATCGAATGTAAGTGAAATAAATTTTATGGACTATATGTTAAATTAGCAGAGTTTTCAAAATACTTGATGTAGTTTTATCACTGGCTAAATCAGAAAGTCAAAAAGCCAGTACGGAATAACTACCAGTTTCTATTCAGCTCTTGAACTAAAACTAGATTGCAAAAGGAATATGTGAAAGAGCCTACATGGCCCTCAAAACCTAAAATATTCACTCTTTGGCCTAATAAAGAAAAGGTTTGCTAACTTTTGATTAGCCCTGGAATTATAAATATAGCAAGCAAAACAGAATCAGAAATTTGACCTTAAAACAACTGTGAATGTTAAGCAAGGCAAGTCCACCGTCCTATCTTACAGAGGGAAAATAAAGCCAAGGATGTTAAAGTGAGCATCTGACGGTCTCGGGCAGTTGGCTAAGGATTCAACACAAGTTGTCTTTCCATTTCGTTTTGCCGACAGCAGTCTATATAGGTTTGCCCGTCAGAATTTACTCAACACTGATTACAAGTTTACGAATGCTTCGAAATCCCACATCCCAGTAGTTTACGCATTTCTTTCTAGTGCTGAAGAATATGAAAATAAATAAAATCTGACAGTGTGTAGAAAACAGTACTATTCTCTTGGAGCCTGATCAGTTCCTTTCTTCCACCCACCCCTACAACCCCAGAAGAGTGCTATTCTATAGAATTCTAGGGAACCATGTTTGAAAACACCTAGCTTAAAATGATTCCTTTTGAAACTATTTCTCGAATGGGGGAAGGAGGAGATAAAAGAGAATTGTGGAGGGGTGAATTCAAATATGATATATTTTAAAACCTTTGTAAATGCCACAACGTACTCCTACCCAGCACACACACACAAAACAAAACAAAAAGAATAACAACTAAAAAAGAAAATAAATTATTTCCTTTATTTACAGAAAGACAGACACACACACATAGACAGCCATAGAATAAGACATAGTAAATACTGATGGTTAAATTTAAAGTAAAATAGCCTATTTAAAGTGCTCAAGACAAAAACCACTTGATCACCTCAATAGATGCAGAAAAAGCCTTCAACAAGATCCAACACCACTTCATGATAAAAGCTCTGAGAAAACTAGGAATAGAAGGAATGTACCTCAACATTGCAAAAGCTATTTATGACAAACCTACAGTCAACATCATAATTAATGGTGAAAAACTGAAACCATTTCCTCTAAAATCAGGAATGAGACAAGGATGCCCACTTTCCCCACTCCTATTCAACATAGTACTGGAATTTCTAGCCAGAGCAATTAGGCAAGAAGAAGAAATAAAAGGAATACAAATAGGTAAAGAAACTGTCAAAATATCCCTATTTGCAGATGACATGATCCTATACCTTAAAGACCCAAAAAACTCTACTCAAAAACTCTTAAAACACCATAAATAGGTATAGCAAGGTGGCAGGATACAAAATCAACTTACAAAAATCATTAGCTTTTCTATACACCAACAACAAACAAACTGAGAAGGAATACATGGAAACAATTCTATTTACAATAGTCTCAAAAAAAAAATACCTAGGAGTAAACTTAACAAAAGATGCAGATGACTTCTACAAGGAGAATTTCAAACTCCTGAAGAAAGAGATCGAGGAAGACTACAGAAGATGGAAAGATCTCCCGTGCTCATGGATTAGAAGAATCAACATAGTAAAAATGGCTATACTACCAAAAGCAATCTACATGTTTAATGCAATTCCCATCAAAATCCCAATGACTTTTATCACAGAGACTGAAAAATCTACCCTAAAGTTCATTTGGACACACAAGAGACCACAAATATCCATCCAAGGCAATACTCAGCAAAAAGAGCAATGCTGGAGGTATCACAATACCGAACTTCAAACTATATTACAAAGCAACAGCAATCAAAACAGCATGGTACTGGCACAAAAACAGACATGAAGACCAGTGGAACGGAATAGAGGACCCGGGTATGAATCCACACAACTATACCCACCTTATACCCTTGACAAAGGGGCCAAAAACATAAGATGGAGAAAACACAGCCTTTTCAACAACTGCTGCTGGGAAAAGTGGTTATCCATCTGCAAGAAACTAAAACCAGATCCATGTCTATCACCTTGTACTAGTAGCAACTCAAAATGGATCTAGGACCTTAATATTAGACCCGAAACTCTGAAATTAGTATAGGAAGGAGCAGGAAACACTCTGGAACTAATAGGGATAGGCAAGGACTTCCTCAATAGAACCCCAGCAGCCCAGCAACTAACAGAAAGGATGGACAAATGGGACTTCATAAAATGAAAAAGTTTCTGCACAACAAAAGAAATGGTTTCTAAACTAAAGAGACCACCCACATAGTGGGAGAAAACATTTGCTAGCTATACATCAGACAAAGGACTGATAACCAGAATATACAGGGGACTTAAGAAACTAAACTCTCCCACAATCAATGAACCAATTAAGAAATGGGCAACTGAACTAATTAGAACTTTCTCAAAACAGGAAATTCAAATGGCCAAAAAACACATGAAAAAATGCTCACCGTCTCTAGCCATAAAGGAAATGCAAATCAAAACCACACTAAGATTCCACCTCACCCATGTTAGAAAAGCCACCATCAAAATCACCACCAACAATGTGTTGGCGAGTATGTGGGGAAAAAGGAAACCTCGTACACTGCTCGTGAAAATGTAAGCTGGTGCAACCACTCTGGAAAAAAATTTGGAGGCTTCTTAAAAATCTAAACATAGATCTGCCATATGATCCAGCAATTCCACTCCTAGGTATATACCCAAAGGAATGCAACACAGGTTACTTCAAAAGCACCTGCACACCCATGTTTATTGCAACGCTATTCACAATAGCCAAGTTATGGAAACAACCAAGATACCCCACTACTGACGAATAGATCAAGAAAATGTGGTAGTATACACAATGGAATTTTACTCAGCCATGAAGAAAAATGAAATCTTATCATTTGCAAGTAAATGGATGAAACTGGAGAACATCATTCTGAGTGAGGTTAGCCAAACTCAGAAGACCAAAAATCATATGTTCTCCCTCATGTGCGGTCTTTAGATCTAAGGCAAATACAGCAATGTTGTAAGACTTGGGTTACATGACAAGGGGAGAACACATACAGGAGGTACAGGGTTAGAAAGAAAACCCCACTCCATTTGATGTCCCCACTCCAGAGGAATCAATACAGAAACCTTAAAGCAACAGAGGTCAACACAAGAAGGGGATCAGGAACCAGTGTAAAGATCAGTTAGAGATGAATCAACCTGGGTTGTAACACATTTGTACATGAAAGCAATGCTAGGAATCTCTGTATAGCTGTGCTTATCTCAACTAGCAAAAATGCTATGTGTTTCTTATTATTGCTTATTTCTACTCTTCAACAGAACTGGAGAAAAGCGCAGCACAGGTTCTGCCTGGAAGGGGGGGAAGAGGGTGGGTGCGGGGGCAGGGGAAGAAATGACCCAAACAATGTATGCACATGTGAATAAATGAATAAAAATAAATAAATAAATAAAATGCTCTTATGAACATCTTCGTACTCCATTATATTAGCACAGGCTCATAAGGATGACATAACTGCATAAACGTCTTTATTTTTGCTTTTTTCAGAGGGCCATACTGGGATTTGAACTTAGGGCTTCAAGCTTGATAGGCAGGTGTTCTACTTCTTGAACCATAACTCCAGTCCCAACATTAACTTCTTGAAGTAGATATCCGAGATATCAAACTGGACAAAATGAAATAAATTACCTACTTTTCATTAATTTCCCACCAAGAAAAGTTTACTGTGATTTTCAGAAACACTCACTAGTAACTCTCTAATTAGAATCAAGGGCACTGCCATTTGTTTTTGACCTCATCAAGCATATAACTAAGCAACAGACAATAGAAAAAATTTTCTTTTTGTCTCTTTGCAGTGCTGAGGTGGAGCGGTTGTCAAACCCAGGGCCTAGCACAATGCTAGGCAAATGCTCTACCAATAAACTATATTTCTATTGTCCCTTCTCTTTTTTTAAACTCTCATATCAAATAAATCACCAAGGACAGCAAATTCATATTAAGAAATATATGTAAGGTGGACACCGGTGGCTCATGCCTGTAATCCTAGCTACTCAGGAGTCAGAGATCAGGAGGATTGTGGTTAGAAGCCAAGCCCAGGCAGATAGTTCTGCAAGATTCTATTTCAAAAAACCCCTCACAAAACTGGGGCTGGTGGAGTGGCTCAAGGTGAAGGCCCTGCGTTTAAGCCCCAGCACCTCAAGAAAAAAAAAAAAGTCTATAATATTCAGTATTAATACTGTTTCTAGTTTTCTGAAGGGCTTAGTTCCAATAGCTTCAAATTTATTCTAACTCCAGTCTACACAAGTTAATGGATAACACAATTTTATTCATGTTTAATAAATAACTTTGCCTCTTCTATTAGCAAATATCTGCTAAATTTTTTTCATCTTTGGGCCAATTAAATGCTTATGTGAAATAAACAAAAATAAGGGATGAAGTAAAAATTTTACCAATTTGGTTTATATAATGAGGGCAAAAATTATGCTATCATGATATATTATGCATTTAACACTGAATTGTTACACATGAAGATCATGCTCTAATAATTAAAGCACAGATAATTTACTTCTAGAAAACATTTACATTTTAAAATTCAGCATATATGTGATATGATACAAATACGAGGCATTTTTACTAAAGCAGAACAATTCTTCAAGGATGAATCAGGCCTTCCTACAACAATTTGTCTGTGGGAGGCTAGTAGGTTTTAAACTCAAATCTCAGGTACTGTGTCATTTTAGAATATTTCAATATTTTGTCTGAAATTTAGATATAAATAACATGAT